TTTGAGGACAAAGCAGCAACATTTGATTTGTTTCCTGTCAGTTATTGACTTTGGTTTTGTTCCTTTATCAATATTTAATTTTTTCTTTTTATATTGCTTTTTCAGTCATCATTATTTGCACTGGCTTTAAGCGGTGTTGCATTCAAATTTTGGCAGTAAATTTTCATACCTGTTTTTTTTTCTTTTCAGGGTTAACTTAAAAATTGTGTTTTGTCGTCAACAGAAGATTCATCAAAATGGCTTAGTTATTTGTTGGTTATCAGCAGTAATTTTTTGGGAGCTGCTATTCCGGTGAAAATATTTGTTGTTAGAAGTATATTTTGCTGCTGTAATGGAAAACTGTCAAAGAGATGACGAAAATGTAAAACCTTCATCAAGTTCGGTAAAAATACGTGAAAAGTCGTTGGTGTCAGCATTTCCAAACCGAAACTTTTCAACCAATTCAGGTAAAGAAACATTTCTTTTGCTGTTGTATCAGTGTAAATTGAGCCCCGAAAGCTATTAGGAGAATTTATTTTCTATTTTTGATCTGTTTTTTCATTTCTCTTAATTTGTTCTGCTTAATCTCAACGGGCAAAAACGGTCGGTAAAGTTTTATTTGTGGTGATAGAATGTGGAAAAGCTGATCCTTAATTTTTTTACTATATATGATGTAGTTAGTGAGGGAGGGTATGTTTATCAGAAGACTGTGAATTATTAGTGTATCTTCATTCGTTACCAAAAGTTCCGTGACTCGTAGCTTTTACAGCTTTGAAGATCAGGTTTTGAGTAAGAAAGTTATATAATTAGGAAACTTACTCATTTGTTAGCCGAAATTCAGTTGTTGATGAAGTACCTGAATGGTATTTGTGGTCCGATCTCAGTTTTTCTCAATGGACACCTGTTTATCCCTAATCACATCTGTAATTTTAGTTGGGTCGGTGAGCAGCTCTCTCAGTAATCAGTCTACGCCGGTTTCTCAAGTAGAGGCTCCTCTTGTTATCCTTAGACAACGAATTAAGGATGTGACCAAATTTTCATTTGCAGATTTGGTTGCCTCAATTCTGAGATTCGATTTTTTAGATGCAGACAAGGCTACCAACGAGTAATGGATATTTTTGCACTTTTATTTATAATTTCAAATTCTGGGACTTTTAATAATGTTAAAATTTCTGCATAATTGTTTTCTTATCTTTTGCAAGTTTAATTAAAACTTTCTTTTAGCTGTTTCTGTAATGATGTGTTTGAAATGGTTTTGGGTGCATTGGCAATGCCTGATAGGACCAATAAGTCTTTACGATGTCACTTGAAGGTTTGATTCTGGTTATAGGCATTTTCCTCTTAAGAATGTAAAAATTTTGGATCTGAGCTTTTTATTTTTAGAAGGTTTTTATTATTTCTCCCAACAACCGTTTTGGCCTAAATCTTTATTTGGAAGCAATTCAAAAAATGCGTTTTAACTCCAAATTTATAGGGAGAAGGCGCCACAGATGACCTCATATCTTTCATAACTTTAATAAAGGAAGATCCATACTTAGCTGAAAATGGCATTCTACCATTGGTCGGGGCTGTCTTACTTGTTTTTTTGGAAAAAGGTAAGGCCACAGTTTTTTAATTAACAAATTTTTGACTGCATTGAATTTGGGCACCATCTTGATTTTGTATAGAAAAGTTTCTGGTTACTTCCAGTAAACAGTTTTGGAAATTGGTTTTTTTTTACATTTAGGACTTTAGGATCTTTCAGTGTTGTGTGTTTCAGGTAATTATGATGCACGGTGCAGGGTTTTTTTGAGGCATTTGTGTTCTTTACTTGCTGTGTGTTTTGACAATTTTGAAGAGGTTTTTTTTGTTTTTACTCTTATTTTTTAAAGAATTAGAACGTGAACAGCGAAGGAATCTTTTGAAAAAAAA